GCTCTGGAAGAAAAAACAAATGAAAGAAAACAAATACAACATAAACAAAAGTAATACAAAAGAGATAAAAAAAAATAGGTTACCCTCTAATCGTATCTGGCTGGCAACTTTCGTGCCCTTTTCGGACGCTTAGATGTCAATTCTTCTTTTGTTTCGTTATCCTGTGCCATTTCCTCTTCTCTCGCATTGGCGGCATATGATTCCGGAAGTTCACTTCGAGATTTTTGCTTCTCTGCTTCGGATGCTTCATCTCCCGCAGAAGAACTTTGAACGGGTTTCGAGGAAGTGCGTTTCCTTAAGTGAGAAACGGGACGTCGGTACCGTACGCCCTCCTCATTCACCACAATTGTATCGCTACCATTCTTTCTAACAACCTTGAACTTCTCAAGTCTGAAGTTGGGTTCCAACTTTCCAGTCTCATAGTTGTTCACCATTACAGTATCGCCCTCGACGATTTCAGCCGGTTTCGAATGCCGGCGGTTATCGGCGTAAATCCTTCCTTTCATCTTCTTAATAGCGTCGTTGTCCCGCACATCAGCATCGCGGTTCCAATAGGGCTCGGTTCTCAAAGATGGCAAGAGATCTTTTACTGGTCTTCCCGTCAGCAATTCCAGTGGAGCCTTGCCGGTCATCGTATGGGGTGTCGTGTTATACATATGTACATAGTCTTTGACTGCGCCACGCCAGTCTGCATTCACCGCTTTGGCAATTCGAAGTGCTCTCAAAATACCCTGGTTTTGCCTTTCATTTGCGGCCAGTAGGGAATGGTGCGGATCAACCGGATATTTCTTCGAACACAATAGCTTGAAAACTCCTCACTTGAGAACGGTGGACCGTTATCGCTGCGGATTGTCTCTGGATATGTTTGTTCCATGAAAACGGATTCAAGGGCATCGATAGTTTTAGATGCTATGGTACCTTCTGTTTCTCTGGTCATTCTTGAAGCGCTTGGAATTTCCTTGATTATAATGAGAATACCGAAATATCTCTAATCATCTTTGAGAGTCAGCATTAAAGTTCTCTGATCTTCCCGATTTTTTTTTTTTTTGATTTTTTAATTTATCGATACTGCCATGTTCTCACATTGTTCTAATGTTCATGTAACTTCCCTTACGTTTCCTAAATTTGCATGAGCCCATCAGGACATCGCTAAAGTTTTCGGAAATTGCCTCACTGAAATTAATTGATCTGTCCTGATGTTCGCTGAGCTCCACTAAAGTTCCTGAAAACCATTAAATTTCCAGTAAGTTCTTTGGACTTGCGAAGTTTCCAAAATATTTATTATGTTTCCTTAGATTCACTGGAGATGGTGGACTTTTCTGAAATTTCTGGGCTATCGAATTTTAACAGAAGTTAATGAAACTGTCTTTGATTTATCGAAACTTACACAAAACTCTCGACTTTTCTGTAGATTCAGAACTTTTTAAATGTTCCTGCAGCTAGTGTACATCCGCAATAAAAATCGGATAGCATCCTTGAAGCTCCGCGAAAGTTGAAAAACTGGCAGGAGATGATGAAAGAATCATTCAAGCGAAGGCTGAAAAATCTTCCAAGGTAAGGTGGAAGAAAATTCAATGGAAATTTGGATGAAGCTTCAGGAAGTTTAAAAATCAATATAAACTTCCGGAAGTTATATAATGTTTAAACAATATATCTTGATTCCCTATGAATTACCGGAAAGAGCCATCGACTATTTTTCGATTGATGGGTAGCCAAAAACGGTGAGAAAATCCAAACATTAGTCGAAGGAGTATCAAGCATAAGGGATCTTTAGAGATGATTGTTTAGAATTTTGAAAGCTCAAAAAATATGAGACATTCAAAAAGATACAAGTTTCTCACAAAAATTTTCTCCGAATTGCCTGCGCGGGCAGGCAATAATAATTTTGATTATTTAAAAAAAAATCGGTTTAAATCGGTATTAAATCTCAAAAATCGGTATTCTGAAAAACCGTATCTGTTTATCGGTATCTGGTTCAGAAATCGGTATAAATACCGATAAATCGGTATATCTGGCAGCGCTGGTTGTGACTTCATTTTTATCAACCAGCCTCATATATGAGAACAACCGTGGCTCAGTGAGATTGAACGAAGACAGCGGCAGCAGCACAACCCAACAGTCAAGGATCAAATCCCAAATCAGACCCATTTAAAAAAGTCATGTGAATGCTCTGCCCCCTGGCAGCTTTTTTTATATATTTGTCGACTCAATTTTGGAATCGGTAAAGTAGAAGTCGATAAAGTAGAATACTGTACAGCATTTGAACTACATATGATGTGCAAAGCTATTGATATCACCATGTGAAGCACATAGACTCCAAGTGTGTCACAATTCGAACCAATAGTGATTAGGCATGGTTCACAGCATAAGATTCACAAATGAAATGGATATGTTTCACAATAAGTGCACAATTAAGCGTCGCGTGTGTGGTTTGGTGAGCGTGCGACAATAAGATGAATTTTAAACTTAAGTTTTGTTAACTGTACATCATTTCCGCATTCACCCTTTTCAGATAATACTTCTAAAATTTGTGAGCTTGATAGAACCACCAGCACCAAAATGTCGGGGTACACTGGCAATATACTGAAGCTGTCAAGTTGCCTCCGAGTTGCAAATAACAGACTAACCTCTATTCAAAAACTGGCATTCGCGAATTTGGTACCGAAGAAAACCCAAAAGTTAAAATATGACGAACGATTGAAGTTTATTAGATCCAATAGCATAGAAATAGACGAAGTGAATTTTTAAAATTTAGAGTTTAGTTTTCATTGAAAATTCTAGTGCAATAATATTCAATTTAGGTAGGACACACGAATCATGTAAAAAATTAGGCTGTGATTACTCTTTTATTATTATCGAAATCAATTTTATATCGAATTGTAGATTCAATTCGAAGGTAGATTAGTATAATTAAATATTGCAAAAATAACTGTAAAAAACATAATTGTCTTTGTGATGTTCATAAAGAAAACAACAAGCATCCTTATTGACTAGTAAGAAATAAAAAAATGAAGATTTAAGTGATTTTTATAAAATATCAAATTTAGTGTTAATTATTTTTTTTTTAGAAATATCAAAATAATATCAAAATATGAATTCAACCGAAATTAAAAAAAAAAAAATAGCATATCAAAATGTATTATGAACATCATTTCAAACACATAATTTGTAATAATTTTGATATTCGACTTTGTTTTAAGTAAAAGAGAGAAGCGAAATGATTAGGATGAAATCCGTCGCGGTCCTATAGGTCAACTCTTTAACTTACATTGTATGATGCAACTTTGTTTAACCGGAAAGAAAGTCTGGGAAAAGGCACTTCACTTTATGAAATATAATAACTACAGCTCCCCACACGATATTTCTAGTCCCGTTACCAACGGTTCTTGTAGTATTAATTAAATGCTCCAGAAAGCAGCTGTCCTCCCAACTCCAGCAGTTTAACCTATTTCAAACAACATGCACTCGAATGAATCCATAAAGTTGGTTGATTCACCTCCATCGCGGCCGCCTATTCGCATCTGATACCATGAACATTAGGGTGGGTCAACTTTAGAACCCCCTGTTCCCCGCTGCTCTTTCAATGCGTATGGAGGACCCAAACAACTGTTCAAAATTTGAACGAATGTGGTTATAATCTCGATTTGCGGGAGATTGTTAAATTTTCTATCTTAAAATGTATGGGAAACGGAAAAGGATCGTTCCATTTCCCATACATTTTCCGATCGATTTTTTTTTTTCATTTGTTTACCAGAAATCCGAGTATTGCTCAAATTTCTCAAAATCTCGGACTGAGAATCTATTACAAAACAACTTTGTCCAAGGCTGCAAATCGATTTGATCTTTGTACAAAAAGTTACTAATCTTTCACTTTAGGCCAGGTGTTCCACAACTTCCTACAAGCTCGTATAAGCCTGTAGGTATGTGCGGTACAATAAGTCTAAATTAATATAGGGTAAATGACGGTTACGCCATTAACTTATTCTATTACCGTCAGTGGGTAAACAACGACCTTGAGGGCTCAATTTTGACATGTGAATACTTTGTGATTCAGAGCATCTATCGGCCAAATTTGAGTGCTCTAGGACTTTTTTTTTACCCTCCTGACGATAATAGGTTAAGGTATTACCGAAGCTGTCATTTACCCTAATATTCACTTTTTTTTCTCACAAGTCTAATCGATTTGCAGTCTATGACAAAGTTGTTTTGTACAGTACTCACAATCTAATTCCAAATATTGGTGAAATTTAAGAAATATTAAAAAAAATTTGGCAAGCAAATTAATTGATTCGTTTTGTTTTCCATACATTTTCCCATTCATAATTTAAAATTATCCCTCAAATCCAGATCAAACTCAAATTCGTTTGGGTTTGATCTGGATTTGAGGGATAATTTTAAAATTTTGTATGTTAAAAATTAAACGAATTTGGGTTTGATCTGGATTTGAGGGATAATTTTAAATTTTGTATGGGAAGATGTATGGAAACCGAAACGAGTCCATTAATTTGCTTGCCAAAAAATTAAATATTTCTCAAATTTAAAAAAAATTTGACGCCGTCGTTGAGGACTTCAACACACAGCAGAAGAGCAGTGGGAAACAAGGGATTGTGAACCACCATACAAGCTTGACCCACCCTAATGAACATGTTTGTGCCGAGTTCATGCTTTCAATTTACTCCAGCACATGCAGTGGGGCTTTGTTCCCACTTTTCAACAATGTATTTTCACTAGCAAAGCTCGCGGACTGTTCGTTGTTGGCTGCTTGTGTCGGGCACGAAATACAACTTCATGCACGTTTCGCCATAATAGATGCTAATGAATGCATGCATGATTTCCTGTCGTGGAATCAACTTTTGCCACCCGAACCATCAATTTCAATTTTATACTTTGGTTATTTTTTCTTGATTCAGGATGCCACCAAAAAATAACGGATGCGAATTGTGAACATTCCTTTGCAAACAAATTAAATAATGTTATCCTCTCTATCTCTCTATTTGCAGCTCATCCTCGAAATCAACAGCGAAGTAGCACTGTTTAGGGACCTTTTAATACACGTCGGCCAGTCGCGGGACTGCCCGGAACTGCGCGAAAAGATCCGGAAACTGCGGCGGTCCTGCGTGGAGGCATGCAAACACACGTCCGCGCTGATACTTCCGCAGATCCGACAGTGAGTATTTTATTGTATTACTTTTGCGTTCCCGTTGCAGGGGTGTGGGTCAGGATTGGGGCCAACCGTAGCGAAAATGTTTGAACATAGCACATAGTAATGAAAAGCAAATACCAACCAAAACCCGCCTAGTCTGGTGCTTGACTTGGAAGTCTGCAGCTTGGGTGGGAAAAGTCAACGAGCTGAATGCACAGACTACCTATACACGAACGTATGAAGTTCCCTTTCTCTGCATCGATGGCTAGAGGCATCAAATATTTAACTAGGTTTCTCGCCATAGTGCATACAGAGAAACTCAGCTAGCCTTAAGGTGGAGACTCCGTGTGCAAACGTAGCAGGCCTTACTGATAGAGCTTACACTTTAAAATGAGCCCACGTGTGCCACATAAAGGATGAACACTTCATTTGATAGCTCCTTCCTGGGGTGAACTTTGTACTGGCTAATATAGTTTGCCGCCTTTCACAGTTTGTACAGAGAAATTTGACTTCCGTGGTAGAGCTGCGCGTTGCTACTGGTTGTACACTGGAGAAACAAAACTCAAGCATTCCATAAGAATCACTTATGAGATATGGATCTGTACTGAAAATCATAAGTTGGCTGCATAAATTTTAATGAGTCTTATAAAGAATGGATTTCGGCTTCTGCGAATTATAAGAAACCCTGATGAACAGTGACGTCTACAGTGAAACAGGTAATCCGTTTCCTTGATCCTTTTAACTGTATTCAACGGGGATCATGGAAAGCGACATATGTGTCATGATGTGTGTCGCGGACGGGGTCTTAATTTTAATTTAGCTATTTCCCTAGTAGAAACGCGAAGGTTAGAATTGCCCGTCACGATGATATAGTTAAAGGGCGTAATTAACTTTACCGTAATACGAGAAGTTCGGAGCTTCTTTTTTAGAGACAATTTCAAATGCGTGTGCACTAGAAATTATCTTACCTTCCATACAATGAGATAAGGCTGGGAAGGGACTAGTACCATACTACGTTGTGGCCTATCTTCCACTTTCCGGGAGACTTATTTCATTGGAGGAAATGCAAAAGGCTTCCAAAATAGTCTTTTCCTTGGTTAAAAATTCTCTTGCAACTCAGAGAGCCAAAAGAGAATCAATTCCTCAGAGAAGTTGATTTCTATTTCGACTGAAGACTGGGAACGGCCTAGTACCAAACTATGTTGAGGTCTATGTTCCAATTTCCGAGAGTCTTAAATTGAATAGAAATATTTGGGGATAATTTTCGAAGCGTTCACATGAGAAGTACAACTATGACTGAGTAAAAGCATCGAAAAGCATCGTTTATTCAGTGAATCTGGATTCCTTATATAGTAAAATTTGGGCCTGAGTGGGAACACTTAAGTCTAAGGCAAAAGAGAGATGCCAGATTTTCGTTCATCCTAGTTAGGAGTTTTCCTTTTGCTTTTCCATTAACCAAATGTAACCATACGTGGTCTATAAATTTGTTTAACTTAGCGTGGGTCGTTTTACTTATTTCATTCTTCGCTCAACTGGTCCAGCCGCTCTCTAATACACAAACATATTTTTTTTTTGGTAGCGTTTTTTTTTACCTAACCTCAATCGTCGCTCTGGGTCTCATGCTAGTCACCTTGCCTGTTCTATAACACGGCTTCTTGCAGTAGGTTATTTCCAACTAGACGTTGGTCCTTTACCGCTATTTTCGTGGGATTTGGTATTGCCTATGAACGAATCCACTTGAGATCGCATCATGCTGTTCTTTTTCTTTTAAGCATGGTCCGCCTACACACGCTCATAGCATTGATCTCTCCTTGCTGAAGATTTACTAGCTGAGCCGGCGCGGTTCTTTTTAACGCATAGGAGTGCATTAGGCTGCATAGACGTTAAGTCGTGAATGTTGTATTGAATTTTCTTACTCTCCTGCCACGCTCTTATTAGAAGGAAAAGGGATAGAGCCGTTATAGTACATTCGATCATTGGAAACTGTTTTTTTCTGTATTCTTTGTCTATTTGTCCTTCCGAGAATAATCGTTCTGTTTTGGTTCATGGTTTTTGCTACTACTCCAAACCTATGGCCTTTGATCTACATATTTGTTTTCTATAAGGTCGATGAACTCGCTCAAGGCAAGGAACTGACAAGGTTTACTAATTTGATGATTATTATTGTTTTGTTCTTAATTTTACTGTAAGCTCAATATCGCGTTCGTAACAATGTGCGTTGTGACCCATAGATTGAGCAACACTGGTCTAATGTCATCGTGTATTTATGTAGCCAAAATGCTTCCCTTCCGATAAAATCAAATATTGTAGTAATAGTAATGTTCAGCACTAAAAGAAGGTACGCCAACTAATCAGTCTTCTACATGACATGACATATAATCTGGTTCCTATTGTGTCTCTTTCACTGCCAACTTTGCGTGTCTATTCCAATTTGAATTGCTCAACTCAACATTATGAAGTCATTTGACTCAGTCATTAAAACCAACACTTTATCATTTATCAACGCATCCCGTCGCGTTGCGTGTTGGAAGCGATTACTATCTTTCTTCATTACGAGGCTAATGACAGTAGCCTTTTTTCACATCAGAATCAATACATTTCAACAGAATGTAGACATTGCGATAATCACGAGTGATTTCCTGATGTCTGAATGTAGAATTTCATACTTCATTTAACATTCCATCGCAAATTCTATCAGTTCATATTTTTGGCAAAATGTCCCGCCAACGTATTCAAAATAACGAATCGCATTTCAATAATAATATTTACAATACGACGATCACGCTGCCTCCCAAACATCATCATCAGAAAGCACAGCGGAAAACTTTTCCCAAAACCCCTTTCCACCACCATCGCACGTGAAATAATCTTCCCCGAGACGAGAAAGGATTTCCTTTCCGCTCCTCGAATCAAAATTTATGTTCCATTGTTTTTAAGCTCTTATAACCTACCGTCGTCATTCTTTGCCCGGCTTTGGGATTGAACTTTTGTTTTCGTTCGTGTTATTGCTTGCTCGATGTTGGGGCTGTTTTCCATTTTCATTGATTGGAATTTATTGCGATTTTCCGCTCATTTTTTTACTTCTGAGAAGTGTATCCCGGAGCCGAAATATGGCGACAGGCACATAATCCTTCCTAATGGAGGAAAAGGATAAGCATCAGCTGCTACACACCTACAAGCTATCGTCGTCGTCGTCGTTTCAAACGCATACCAGCCTTTTAGGCTTGATGTGGAGGTGATAAAGAACCTGAAGGGGTCTGTCGAGTATAATGGCAGTTGGAAAAGATCATCATCAAACATGTGTCACATAAATTCAAGTTAAACAGCATGAACCATCGGAAGGGTTGGTGTGCTAACGAGATGATTTTTTTTAGTGGGACGGCAATACAACAACACAAAAAGCGTGACACATGTGGTTCGGAGAATATAGTGGAAATCAGCGGTTTAATGCGTTGTCAATGCGCATTCGTTTGATTATTGAGAGCGTTTTTTTTTCACAAGCCTTAAGTCTCAAAAGTCTCACAAGTCTCAGTTCCAGAATACCAGAAAAAAAATCAAGTCTCTAAATCTTCAATATATTTTTTCAGTACGTAATTTTGAAATGTTTTCTACATTGGAATTCTACTTTGGAATTAATTCAAGACCAACAATTGAAATGGCCTTAACTCCATTTTGTAAACAAACCTTGTAAGGCCTTTTTCTCGCGAACCGAAACCTCCATTCGCAAACCACAATCGGGTAGAGGAGTATTTTCTCTAAAGGGTGATACGGTCAAAATTTGGTCAAGGGAAAACGCGTGTAAATCGGTGAAATCGTTTATTTAAAAAATCAAATTAAATTTCTTTTTCAAGTTCAATTAGTATAAAATTCAGGAAAAATATTCAGTTAGGCTTCCGCTTTTCCAAATCCGAATTGCCGGGCCTTACGCTTGACCCCTGCCATCAGATTTTGTACAGCCACCTTGTCCACCTTCTTCGCCGCAGAAAGCCAGTTTGCCTTGAACTGCTGCTCGCCCTTAGCAGTTTTTTGGTCTTCTTTAGGTTCCGCTTGACAATAGCCCAGTATTTCTCAATTGGGCGGAGCTCTGGCGTGTTGGGAGGGTTCTTGTCCTTGGGAACCACCTGCACGTTGTTGGCGGCGTACCACTCCATGGCCTTTTTACCGTAATGGAAAGATGCCAAATCCGGCCAAAACAGTACGGAACAACCGTGTTTCTTCAGGAAAGGCAGCAGACGTTTATTCAAACACTCTTTCACGTAAATTTCTTGGTTGACAGTCCCGGAAGCTATGAAAATGCTGCTTTTCAAGCCACAGGTACAGATGGCTTGCCAAACCAGATATTTCTTTGCGAACTTTGACAGTTTCATGTGCTTGAAAACATCTGCTACCTTTCCCCTTCCTTTTGCCGTATAAAACTCCTGTCCCGGAAGCTGCTTGTAGTCGGCTTTGACGTAGGTTTCGTCGTCCATTACCACGCAGTCAAACTTCGTCAGCATCGTCGTGTACAGCCTCCGGGATCGCGCTTTGGCCGTCGTATTTTGTTTATCATCGCGATTTGGAGTCACTACCTTCTTGTAAGTCGATAGTCCGGCTCGTTTTTTGGCTCGATGCACGGTTGTAGACGATACACCCAGCTTATTTGCGGCATCTCGGAGAGAGAGGTTAGGGTTTCGTTTGAAACTACCGGCAACTCTCTTTGTCGTCTCAGCGGCTTCCGGTTTTCGATTTCTCCCCGATCCAGACTTCCTGGCTGTCGACAAACGTTCCCCAAACACTTTAATTACATTTGTAACGGTTGATTTGGCAACTTTTAGCGATTTTGCCAACTTTGCGTGCGAGTAGCTCGGATTTTCGCGATGCGCGAGCAAAATTTTGATACGCTGCTCTTCTTGCTTGGACGGCATTTTGACAACTGAAGAGTGAATTCCAAAATCAAAATAGGAGCAACATTCTACACACACACACCTTCAAAATGAGGGGTGTTCAGGTTTTTTAAATGCAAAATTGAAAGAAATACGTCAAGT